TGTCCACTTATTTTAATTAATAAATTTTTACTTATATGTTTAAATTATTTTAACTTATTTGTTTTCAAAATAGAAAAATACGTACATCAATTTGGACAGATAGAGATACTTGAAACTTAAAAAAAAAACATTTGTGGGATTACATCTTTAACATGTCATAACTTTACATGTGGTATTCTATTTTGGACAAGTTTTGTTTTGTTTTGTTGTTTTTGTTTTTAGATTTATGCATATGAAACTACGGAAGGCAATTTTGAGTGATTACTTTCGCCCAAAAAAAAAAAAAAAAAAATTCAATATTAGTCTTATTTGAAAGATCTTAAAAAAATGAATTTACAGATATCAATTTTATAAAGAACAAATTTGAAAAACTCAAGTTATGAGGAGCAACTTTTAATTATTCGAAACGTTCATATTGTAAGGTTCGTTCAGTAGATCATCTATAAAAATAAAAATAAAAATAAAAAAATAATTGGATATCTTTAGTCCCATGATTAGTTTTTAATTGTTTTAGAAGACATATAGGACCTGTTATAGGTCCTACATTGCTGCTGATTAGAGCATGTTCACAATCGATTTTGTAGTGTGTTCTTATATGCCTTCCAATATGTAGTTTAAATAGTGTTGCGATTACAATTATATTATAATCCTAACATTATTTACACTGTGCCTTTAGGCACGGGCATATGCTAGTATATTAGTATGTCTTTTAGTTTTGTAGTTCTCTTTTTAGTTTTGATATTTAATTTTAATTTGTAGGTTGGATCCTTTAACCATAATTATAAAAAATAAAAAAAAATAAAAATATCGGCGTACCGCAGCCGTACCCTTATCATACTTTTTTTAGATTTTGCCGTATCGGCGTACCCACACTCGTACCCGTACCGTACTCGTATCCGCACCCGTGCTTCTTAGGCAAATGGAGTCTCACAGCGCCGGACTACGCCGTGTTCTGGTGCTCGCCTTTTGCGTCGCAGGCATTTGGTCAGCTTATATTTACCAAGGAGTCCTTCAAGAGACTGTGTAAGCTCTCTCTCTCTCTCTCTCTCTCTCTCTCTCTCTCTCTCTCTCACAGCTCTAATTTGATCTTTGGTCTCGCTGATCAAGTGTAGTTTTCGAATTGTTGTAATTTCGATTCCCTAGATATCAATTTCAATTGTTAGAGTTCTAGGACTAGAAATTTTAGGATTTACATATTTGAATGCTTTTAGTCTGTAAAAATTCATTGTTGATTAATAATAATGATTAATATTTGTGTTGATTGATGGCTTAGTCATTATCATCTTATGAATATACCACTCTTTAAAAATTGTGATTTCTACATTCATAATGGCATGACTTGTGCATTGCATTGACGACCATGATGCTCTCATTGCAAGAATTTGTTTCCCCAAAATTTAAGTTACACCTTCTTCTGGGTATATTTGTGGTCTCCTAAATTATTCATGAAGATTGATATTTTTTTTTTTTTGTAATTGTTATGAAACCCTTCAGGTCCACCAAGAGATTTGGCCCAAACAAAGAGAGGTTTGAAAGCCTAGCATTTTTGAATCTGACACAGAGTGTAGTTTGTTTCATTTGGTCATTTATTAGTAAGTTTTTATATTTTTATATTTTTTTTAATCTTAATCTTTGTTTCTTGTCTGTGTGATTTTTCCCCTTTAGTTGGATTCAGATGTTACAGTTAAGTAATTAGTTTAATGTGCTGTTATGGGTCAGTGATAAAGCTTTGGTCTAGTGGTAGTAATGGCGGTGCTCCATGGTGGAGTTACTGGAGTGCTGGCATTACAAATACAATTGGCCCAGCTATGGGGATTGAAGCTTTAAAGTACATCAGTTATCCTGCCCAGGTATTTTCAATTTGTTTCCATATTTGACCCTTTCTATGCAACTCTTTTTATCTATTTGTTAAAAGTATAGCCCTTCGCCATTATCAATGTCACTTGGGGAAATTGTAAGATTTTGATACAATTTTTATACCCAATGATACCAAAATCTCACAAGTGAACCAATGAGCCAACCTCTCTACAATGTAAACAATCAAGGATAATACCCATTTTCAAACCATAGTTACCTATCAGGCCACTGAGGGGCCATTGCTTGCTCTGCAATGGTGAAAGTTTAGGTTGTCAAGTGTGAGGACATGGGTTGAATATGAGTTTGGTTGCTTTGTATGTCAATAATTATCTGGTCAGGCTTGCGCTCAGTCCTTGGCACCCACTATGTTCTTTAATTTAACCAACACTGGGCGATAGGCTTTAGTTGATTGAAAGGTAAATTGTCTACCATCAAGACTGTCTCCCCCCCACCCATGTTCAATTTTCTTTAACCATTTTTTTAAAGTAACACAACAAATGCATTTGTGGTTTTAAATGCTTATTATTCTATTACTATCACTTGCAGGTCCTTGCAAAATCTTCAAAAATGATACCAGGTGAGTTCTTGACATAATTTTAAGCATGGTTTTTGTTTAACATAATTGATTAAGGCTGTTTCATCCTTTTGACTTTCCTTCTGACTTTGATTATAAGTTTGTAGTTCCTCTGGCGCCTTTGTGTGACATTTTGTTTTGCTAGTGTTACGCAAAATGACTTTAAAAGTAATACTTAACACACTTCAAAGGAAAAATAAAATAAAAGAATAAGAGAATTTAAAATGTACAATCACAGAGGATTCTTCATCTCGAAGAATTTATCATGACCTCTTTCAATAAACTCAGCAAGCAGTTGATAGTTTCTTCTATATATTCATCTTATTAATAGTAGAGAAACTACGGAATTTTTGGTATAGACTAACTTTGGAATTGACACCTGCAATGTGAGATCAACTAGACATATATTTATTGTTGGTAGGTGTGGGAATATGATAAAGAAACTGTGGTTTTCTCCGTTTGCAAATAGATGATGAGAAAACATTCACACATTAATAAGGAAAAAGGAAGGCACATGTGTTATGTGCCCTGTCCATTCTTTTGTTAGTCAGAAGACCATTTTTTTCATTTTGATGGGTGGGAATTTTTATTGTAAATTTCTTTGTTAATCAAATCAGGAGTTTGTAGCTGTAGTGGTTTCTGCGGTTAACAGATGTGATGTTTTCTCTTTATGCAGTGATGCTGATGGGTAGCTTAGTTTATGGTATTAGATACACTTTTCCAGAGTATGTCTGCACTCTCCTGGTTGCTGGTGGTGTTTCGATGTTTGCACTTTCAAAGGTGAGGAATATACAAGTCATTCTATTGGAACGATGGGCTCCTCTTTTCAATTATTGTTTTGGTTTACTTTTCTTTTTTTTTATTTTTTGGTAGTGTGCTGGGCCACAAGACATAGGTCTGTGCCTGATAAATTTAGTTTGGATGAACAATTGAATCCAATACTTTTCTCTTGTTTTTACTTTGATGCGTTTCAGACTAGCTCAAAGACAATAAGCAAGCTGGCGCACCCAAATGCTCCACTTGGATATGGGCTGTGTTTCCTTAATCTTGCTTTTGATGGATTTACAAATGCTACTCAAGATTCAATTACATCAAGGTACATCAGTCCAAAAAAACAAAAAAATTGATATTGCCAATTATTCCTGTTGATTCCACTGGTACTTTTCTCATATATATGTCTTGATTTTTCTAATAGTCTGCTAGTTAGGACGCAATCATAGAAAACACACTTCATGCACTTTTGTGTGTGTTGGGGAAGGGAGGGTCATACTTGAGGGAAAATATGGTAGGATTATTCTCAAACTAACAAAGAGTGTTGTGTCAGAAAAATTTCAGGAACATATTTAGAAAGGGTTTGGCTTTGGTCCAGTCCAAGATTGGACTGGACCGTTCTGTTGGGCCTGTGGGGGTCCACCACGGGTCTCATTTTGATAATCCTAACCGTTCAATGTATAGAACTTGTCGAGTACTATATATCTGTAAAAAATCACGTTGATCGGATATTGATAGCTATGTGATCAAATTAGTTTTTTTTCAACCGTTAATTTGTTCACTATCAAATTTTTTTAATACAAAACTGATTTGATCACATAGCTATCGATATCCGATCAACGTGATTTTTTATAGGCATATAGCACTCGACGATTTCTACACATTGAACGGTTTGGATTATCAAAAAGGGACCCGTGGTGGCCCCCACGGGCCCAACAGCACAGTCCAGTCCGATCTTGGACTGGACCAAAGCCAAACCCATTTAGAAACTTGTTCACATATCCAATGAAGCTGCTTCTTGTTCCTTAGCATTTTAGAACTCTTTTGGTAATTCAAAATACTTTACACCTGACAGGCTCAAAGCATATCTGGAGGGCTTATTGGTTGACTGTTTTACCTTGAGGCTGTGTTTGAATTTAGGATCTAAAGAGAGGTTTGTGGAGGGAAAGGAAAAGATAAGGAAAAAATGATATATTTAGCTTCTATTTTTGTCACTTTCCCCTCCCTTCACAAGTCCTAGTTCCAAACGCAGTCTGAATGTCATGTGAATTTTTCACAACAGGATTTCAGGAAGCTTTGATTTACCGTGAGATCATACTAGGCAGATAATAGCAAACTAGTGACAGTTCAAAGAAATAATGTTCTCTTTGTTATATATAATAACTATATATTTTATCTATAATGCACATCATATTATATTCATTACCATATTTAGGATTACCATATTTAGGTTTTTCTCCTCCTATATAAAGAAGTCTTGTGTATATTGTTACATAATTATTCAACACAATATTCAATATAATACAGATTTCTTTTTCTCTTTCTATCTCTTTTAGATATTATAACTCTATTAGAGCAAGGTTAAGTACCTAGTAATTTCACTTTACCAGGTGGCAGCAGCCTTACCTTGGCTACCCGCTGGACCTCAATCCATTCCACTGTCATATTTTCTTTTACTATTGCTTCGTGGTGATCTTTTCCTGTCCACTAGTTTATTCATATCCCAAATATCTCTATCATATATATTTTTTTACTCGCAATCCATTTTTTTGTGTGTTTTGCTCCACTTTGTCTTTCCTTATGTTTCAATCTCAAATAGGTTTCTATCTTCAAACCTATTTGAGTTTAAGGGGGATATTATACTTATATCATGGTGAGTATGGTGATATACCATGTGAACCACCTAAGTTGCTCCCTCTGGCACACAACCCAAGCCGTTCCCTCTAGTGCACCATCCAAGTCGCCCCTTGACGCACAACCCAAGCCACCCCCTCTGGCTCACAACCCAAGTCGCCCCTTTGGCGCACCACCTAAGTCGTCCCCTCTGGCGCACAACCCAAGCCGCCCCTACGGGCGTATCATCCAAGCCACCCCTTGGCGCACCATCCAAGCCGCCCCTTGGCACACTTTCTAATAAGTCGCCCCCTGGTGCATTCAGTCATCTGTTATCACCATCGTTCAGCACGATGTCATAAGTTATGTGTGTGCCACACTGTCCCAACATTGATTCAAGTTGGTCTTTACAACGGTCCAACATGACTCCCTAAATTGTCCCGATATTGATTTCGGTCAGTTCCTACAATGGTCTGGCATGATCCTATAAATTGTCCCAACATTGATTTCGGTGTTTCTATAACGGTCCAGCATGACCTTAACCTATCCCGACATTAGTTCCGACCAATACCAATTTCTACAATGGTCCAGCACGATCATAAATTGTCTCTCAGCATTAACTTCGGCCTCTGATCTATCTCAAGCACTCCTGTGCACCCATTTGGACTTTGCAATCTATTTGGCTTGAATCTATCCATATTATATATTCTGTCTATCATACTTATCATATTATATTCATTACCATATTTAGGATTATCATACTTAAGTTTCTTTCCTCCTATATAAAGGAGTCTGGTATATATTATTACATAATTATTCAACAAAATATTCAATTTAATACATATTTCTCTCTCTCTCTCTCTCTCTCTCTCTCTCTTAGATATTGTAACACTCATGATAAACCACCATGCTTTGCTTCAATGCCAAACACTAGTCATGTCATCACATCCCAACTGTTTCACCTTTTTTTCCTTTTTTTTCTTCTACAAACTATTTTGCACATTGACTGCCTCGTAAAATGCTTGGTGAGTGTTCTCATTGATGCACTCTCAATTGCATCAATCTATAATTGCACGCACACCTTTTCTGAATTCAGGTACCCGAAGACAAGTGCTTGGGACATAATGTTGGGTATGAACATGTGGGGTACCATTTACAATACAGTCTTCATGTTTGGATATCCGGGCGCTAGTGGATACGAGGCAGTTAAATTCTGCAAGTTGCACCCAGATGCAGCGTGGGACATTTTTCTCTACTGCCTGTGTGGTGCAGTGGGCCAAAATTTCATTTTTCTAACCATAAGTCGATTTGGTTCTCTCACTAACACTACCATCACCACCACTCGCAAATTTGTCAGCATTGTGGTGTCTTCACTTCTTAGTGGAAACCCGCTATCAACAAAGCAATGGGGGAGCGTTTTCATGGTTTTCTCAGGGTTGTCGTACCAGATTTACCTCAAATGGAGGAAATTGCAGAGATTTCAGAAGAAGAGAAAGCCCATGTGAAGTCCATGATATATTATTGGTGTAACTGAGAGGTTCAATATCACATTTGAATATAGACAAATGTATCGGAGTAGATCTTATTTTTCAAGTCTCTACATGTAGTTAGGGGAAGTTTTGACGTGTTGTTGGAATGACATGAGTTTTAAAACCAGTACCAGTTGGCTTCGACTGAAATTTGATATTATTAAATTTTTGATAATTATGTGAGCATTTGTTGTGTACCTATGTGTTTTGGTTTATCTATGTATCTAATGTCTAATAACATCTCCAGAGCGGCTGATAATGTTCCCTTTCTACAAAAAAGTGTAAAACTGAATTTTTACTTCGTTTTAAACATCAAAGCACAATGAAACATCAAACCGTTATTATTATTTTACACGCTTAAACAGTACAGAATAGTAAGCACAATATAGATAGAGTGAAGAATTAGGATTGGATGTAGCACAAAATTAGAGACGATGGATGGATGAAATGGAAGAGTTAACGAATGTTGGATAATTAATAAAAATATATTTTTTAAAAAATGAATGAAATTGAAATGAAGATGTTGCATATGGATGGGTATAGAATATGACAATGGTTTACAAAGTTTTTCATTCAATTTGGCTTATGCGATTCAATTGAGATTAATTCTATAATTATTTTTGTATGTGTAGTAGTAATTTTTTTTAGTAAGTGAATTTGTGCTGTTCCCATGTTCTGTTATTGACAAAAGAATGGACCCAGTGGTAATCCTTGCCCTTAGTTAAAAGAAGTTTATGCATTAAGGTTCTTGAGTAGTTGGGCCATAGCCAGGGGACCATGGAGACTCGCAAATTACCTGTTTATCCCTAAAGTCAAACCATTGAAATGGATCAGAGGAAGGGCAAACTTGTCATCTTATACCTGCCTAACATCAATTAGGATGAGAGAGAGAGAGAGAGAGAGAGAGTCCACTTTATTTTGTAGAGGGTTCCCTCCCATTTTTACCAATAACTTTTGCTTTGTTCATAATCACACATGTCCTCCACCACCACCGCTGACCAGTTTAAATACACCACATTCCTCAGACCCCTCCTCCCCCACATCACATTCCCACTTGGAGAAGATTTCAGAAAAATGAGACAGTCAGAGAAATGGGCAAGTTCCCATCCCATCTCATTGCCAGAGCCAGACCCCATAAACATGAAATTTCACCTCTGCAACCATTTCTTAAAATACTTTTTATTCTGCTCTTATCTTTAGTTTCCAGTTGTGTTCCATCATGAATTTGGATAAAAATTTGTGAAGAGAAAAGCACTGAGAGGGAATTGTCAAAAAATTTATCTTATATTGTTAACATTTCCCTCTACCCAAATCTAATAGTGTTCTTTTATTCCTTCCATTTATGCTTCTCTATGTTTACTCTGCTTCGGATTTCTTTCCTTATCTTCAAAATTTGTTTCTTACATTAATCTCAGACCAAGAGAGAGAGAGAGAGGAGAATAAATTCTATGCACACAAAACCCATATCACATTCTCCACTCCAATCAATATAAGTTACATTACATGAAAATATCTGAAAAAAAAAAAGGAGTAAAATTATTCTATACCCTCTGCACACCTAAGAACCACAAATAGGAGATCAATTCAAAATCTTGATCCTCCTTTTTTAGTTTTTGTTTTTCCTTCTTCTAGACCCCCTCCCTAAGGGGGTAATATAGTCAAGATGACGATGTGTAATTACAATCTCAAAAATAGTAGGAAATAAAACAATGCTGGTTCTGTACAAATGACAACTCAAGAACAAAAACTTGATTGGGACCCGGAATACCAATATCCGAATCCCAGAACAAAATTGAATAAAATGGAATGATGACACACTTCAAAGGTTGGCACACTGAAAAAATTAACGCAAGTATTAGGGTTCTAAGAGAACGCAGAACATATTGTTAGATCTGTCAGGAAAATGCCAGAATACACCATAGCATTCTGGATTTGAAACGCAGATCTTAGTAGGCCTCTCTTTGTAAAAGAAATCAGGTGATCCGAAGGGAAATGAATTCGAAAAAAGAGAAGGAAAAAGCTCTATATGTCGAAAATTTCAGGGTAATTTAGTAATTATAGTGGCTGCAAACCTTGCAGAACTTGGTATTGTGAGATGGATCAGTAAGGTTGATCATAGGCTTTGGAGGAGAGCCCGTTTGCACGGTGAAGGTTGTGAATAATTGGTACTAGGATTTGAGGATTGGGAGTCCATTCCAAGTGCTTTCAATAGGAATTGCCTCTCCTGAAAACATGCATCAAAATGTATGTAGTCAGTTAATACAAATTGGCATGAAGGAATATTCAATTAACAGAAAGCATGAAAGAGTAAAATAATTCACAAACTGAAGTGGTGGTAGGTCAGAAGTGCGCGTGACACAAACACACTAACACAACAATTTTAGAAAAATGCAGGACACAGCATGTAAACACTTGACTATCCTCTGTAAAATATAAACCATTTATCAGCGGCTTAATCAGAGCATGGGCCAGATAGCACTCAGGCCACTGCTAGAAACAATTGACCATCTTTTAACTCAGATATCAAAAGTTATGCTTTAGCCTTTATACTTCTTTAAGATGATGTTTTGTTAAGCATAATAATAAGTTTAGTCCGGTTACTAACAGAAAAGTTAGATATATAAGCAAGCATGTTGAGTTAATGTTGAGTCATTTGTAGCATTTTTGGAGTAGCCATCTGTTCGAATTAACCTACATCTTTTTCTTTTCTTTTCTTTTCTGATTGAATTAAGCATAAAAAGCTCCTACAAGAGCTACAACTGAAACTGGAATGGGCATTGAACAAAGGGTTTGCACACACACACACACACAGAGGTAATTTCAGGGGTGATGGCCTATGTTACATGGACTCTTCAAATTAAATCAAATACCCGTGTTGGACACCCGACACTCGGACAAGGGTATGGGATATGTGTCGGATACTTTTCAACGGATACTTCTTATATAATTGTATATAACACTATTATTATATGTATATATTGTTATATAATTGCTATAAATGTCATTTTGACACTATAAGTTACATATAATACCATTTTATCTCACATATTAGATTAAAAATATAAAAATATGACATTTTTTTGCCGAGTCCGCGTATCCTTAAATTTATGATTTGATGAGTCCGACCTCTAGATACATATCCGCACCCGACACCCGTACCCGAGTCCATGTAACATAGGTGATGGCTGCCTTACAATAAGAGTGGGCGCGCTTGGAAACTAATTGCTCTATAATTCAAAGGATATCATATGACCATGTTTACTTAGAAAATGAGAAAAACTATTAGCTAGTAAATATAGGAGTGATGATCTGTTTCTATAATTTAAGGGGTGATTGCCTTACATGTATTGTTTCTAATTCTTAATGGCTTGCATATATACATATATATATATATATATATTCTAACAACTAAGGGTGTAATACTAATCCATCATGGAAACTTATTGGTATCATAGAAAGTGTTTATAACTGAGAGAAATTTAACTAAATAATTATTAGTTATTAAGTCTAGAAGATCCATAAGCACGTGTTTCTTTTTTTGTTTGTGATATTCTTGTCAGCCACCAGTGCATCACCTAGCCTGAAAATCACCAAGCTATAGAAGTTTGAAGTTAGCAGTACTGCAACAAGATCATTTCAAACTCAACTCAACAAGCCCTTAGTAGCAATTAATTGGGAATAGCTACACAGATCTGTTTCATCCAATTGGCTCTACTACAAAGACAATTCAACAAGGTTAAACTATTGATTAAAAAGAACTAGCTCAGTTATCCTAGTTTAATTCCTATCTTAGCAGAAGCTACTTATAAGTTTAAATTCATAAATCTCTGCAGCAAGGTAGCCAAGTCAGAATTTTGATAGCAGTCCTTGGTTGGTTTCATGAGACACACAGAAAAGTGTTTTGTTTGATAACTTCATGCTAGATAACATAGCACTTACCCATCTTGGAATCATTTCAAAAAATTTCCTTATTTTCTTTTTCCGGATTTAGTCCTATGCTGTGCACTTTTTTAAAATTAATACATAGGTTATATGCATCTCTCTCTTCTTTTAGATGTATTTCTAATTGATACCAATGGCAAGGTGCGTGCAAGTTGATTAAAGTTTATGATATTCCACAGCTAGACATGAATTAGATCATTTCATTTTTCAAAATTGAGCATTTGCTTAGTTTATTCCAGCAAGTTGGCATAAGTTAGGGTAAGTAATGCTTTGACCGCAGATAAGATTTTGCACTAGGACAGGTAGTGATGTTGCATCTACTGTTGGTATGCTGCTAATGTTGATGCTTCTCTATCAACATAAAACTACTACTGATAAATAAAAATCAGAAGGACTACTACCATTTCTCTACTCTTGCTGCCTTTGATAATGGCATGGCAATCAGCAGAAATAAGGTCCTATTAGTAGACACTATATTACTTGTTTGAAATGCACTTTAAGGTCAAGTTTGGAAATACTAAATAAGTGCATTTTTTGACTTTTTATGAAATATGGATTGGATTTAGGTTGGGTTTGAAGTGATGTGTTAGAGAGGTGATGTGACTTAAATAAGATGATGTGACTTAAATAGGTTAGTGACTTTTTGACTTTTTGGATTTTTTTGAAGATGCCAAACTTGGCCTAAATCTGTGTGTGTGTGTGTGTGGCTTGGTGACATGAAGCTTACCACTTGCTTAATAATCAGCAGATTGTAAGATAAGACGACTTACACTTTCTGAAAATTTTGGGCTGGGAACACCGGCAGCTAGTGATCTGAAAATTGGGGTTACTTGATGAGGAGAACCAAACTAGGTATTTGAGAAGACAGAAATGACTCCATCGTGGTCTTTTAGATCCTAGCAAGACGGTAACATATCTGCAAAAGAAAACTCACCAGAAAAATACTTTAGGATTCTATCAAATACATGATTGAAAATATCTATCAGTCCTCATTAAATATAAAGATAAAGTTACCTTGATTCGTGATTGCACCAGAGAGAATTCCATTTTCACAATCACCAATAAAAATTTGGTCTCCTATATGGGTTGATTGTGATTCAGCTACACTGTCAATATGTAGTGCACACAGCTCCTCTCGACTCTCTTCCATTTTATCACCTGCAGTCTGGGAGAGGAGGGTTGATCCTGTACTGTACTCAGAGCTGTATGGGGACTCCTCATATAAATCAGGTTGCCTACAGTAACAATCAACTAGAT